GTGAGGCGGTTCCCACAGTGCCGTCGCTGAGGCCGTCTGTGTGGAGTGAGGTGGTCCCACAGTGCCGTCCCGGAGGCCATCTGTGCGTCCTAAGGTGGTTCCCACAGTGCCGTTGCTGAGGCCGTCTGTGCGTCCTGAGGTGGTTCCCACAGTGCCGTCCCAGAGGCCGTCTGTGTGTCCTGAGGTGGTTTCCACAGTACCGTCCCAGAGGCCGTCTGTGTGGAGTGAGGTGGTCCCACAGCGCCGTCGCTGAGGCCGTCTGTGTGGAGTGAGGTAGTACCACAGCGCTGTCGCTGAGGCTGCTTACACGACGTGAGGTGGTTCCCACATTTGCACCGCGTCCTTGTCAGAGCCGCTAGGTGCTGCGTTTCCACAGGGGAATTGGTTCCAGAGACCAGTTACCACCTAGCCTCCTGATCTCTGTCCCAGTTGAGACAGGCCTTGTCTGTAGCCAACCCTGGTGGAGACTGTGAGGGGTCAGCAATGACCACTGCTTCACACCTGAGGTGACCAGAGACCAACCACAGAGATGTCTTCTGAGTGAAGACGCGCAGCTGGGAGAAGCCATGAAGGCTGTGGGCTCCTGGCCTCTTCCTAGATGCGTCACCAAAAAAGGATGAGGAACCACTTGAGGTCAGAACGCCAATCTGGTCTGGAGGAAAAGGCTCTGATATTTTGGAACCTCCTCAGCTGGCCCCATGGTGCCCATGGTGCTGTCCAAGGCCCCTGGGGCTGTGTGGACCAGGGAGCTGTCACCCTAGGTAGCCTGTGGAGATGGGGACAAGGACAACTGTCCTGTGGGCTGCACCTGGGCTCCCCAGTGTACCAGTGTGGCGCTCCCCTGCCCTCTCTAGATATGTGCTGTCCACTGCTCTGTGTTAAACGGTATTCTTCTTTCCTCTCCTCTGCTCAGCACCTACTCATGTGGTGTGTGTTGTCTGCTCTGGATGGGACAGTGAGCCAGGGCTGGGAGGCAGGATGGGGTCCGTGAGGACCAGCCAGGGAAGACGGGGCGTCTCAGTGAGGGGAGGTTCAGTGAGGAGGAGGCTCAGGGGGGCTCAGTGAGGGGAGGGCTCAGTGAGGGGAGGTTCAGTGAGGAGGAGGCTCGGGGGGCTCAGTGAGGGGAGGGCTCAGTGGGAGGGGGCTCAGTGAGGAAGAGGGTTAGTAAAGGGGGGACTCAATGAGGAAGGGGTTCAGTAAGGTCCAGGACATAAAGGCCAGAGGCAGGGCACAGTGCAGTGGTTGCCTGGGAGGCTGCGCAGGGCCATTGGGACCACTGCCCGTCGGCCATGCCTGGTCAGTCCTAAGGCTTGGGAACCAGGACAAGGTGAGGCCAGGTGGGAAATGATCTACTGTTGGGGTTTGCAAGACTTGTAACCACAGTGGGGTTGGACTGGAGGAGGGCAGGGCTGGGGAAGGTATCTGTCCCTCCCTGCCTGGGCCGTCCCTAGGCCTGAGCCACGCCTGTTGGGCCTGTATCCCCAGTGTTTGCTGCCCCCTTCCCCCGGTCCTCAACCACCCTGCACCCTACACCCCTGCCCCTCAGTCCCTGGCCTCCTGCCCCCACCCCCTGACTCCTTATCCTCTACTCTCCTGCCTCCCACTCCCCAGCCCCCCACTCCCCGGTCCCCCACTCCCCAGCCCCCTATTCCTGGCCCCCAGCTGGCATGGCCAGGCCCTGCTCAGCTTGTACCACTGGCCTGAGGGGCGTTGGGCTGAGGTTGGCCCACGGTGGGCTAGGACGGGGCTGGGGGCCTCTGCTGTGGCATACTCACCCCCCTGCATACCCCTCAGGGAGGGTGGATGCCCCAGGCGGGGGTCTGGAGGGCCAGTGCACCCTGTCTCCTCTGTGGTGCCCCCCAGCAGGCCCCCAGTGTGTTTTTGTAGAGAGGCCGGTCTAGCGTGACCACCGTGTCACATCCATAGGTGGAGTGACCTCACAGGAAGCAGACGGCCCTGTGGTGCCTCGGAGGGTCGGGTGTGCCAGTCAGTGCTGTTTGCAGTTGCTGGTGACTGACCCGAGGTGAGACCGCGTGCTGACGCCAGAGGACCTCCGCCTCCTTGTGGATGACGGGGATTTCCTTGGATGGGGGCGGTGTCGTGTCACAGTGCTGCGGCCTTAGGTCTCCGGACCATGGAAACCAACCCGGTCACGTGTCCTTGCCTATGCGAGAAGTAACAGAAGGAAAGTCTCACTGTATAAAATTCTAACGTTTCAGCAGTAATACAGTATTTGTTAAACGTATAGAACTTGTCAAACTGCTCACGGTGCACCCGCGTCCTCACTAGAAGGTAAGGTCGCTGTCTCCGCAGTGCTGGGGTGTCACCCGGCAACACCTCTGAGCAGGGGTCCCCATGGAGCTGGGTTGTTCATCCAGGGATGCCTCTGAGCAG